TCTTGCAGTACGGCCGTTGGAATCATTGGTGATATGGACGGCTATTGGATTTTGTTTGAGCCGTTGGAATCTTTCGTGATATGATCGGCGTGAGGCGTTGAATTTCTGAGGGGTTTTGATCCGGTGGCCGGGTTTCCCCTTTACTTTAGGTTTGTCGTTGTTTTTCGTTTTTTCGGACACATTTTCGACGCACTAGAGGTTCTTCACTGGCGTACAGAACCAGGGAGGGTGTTCGGGCGTAGAAGTAGATAGTCGAAAAGTAGCCGTTACGTAGGACGCAGCTGGGACAACGTTAAGGGTATGTGCTGAGAGGCTTTGGATGATAGTGCGGAGTCCCCGTGTTCTCTCGAGAATTGGGGCCTCTCCTCCTTCTCCCTCTCTCCTCTCTCATGCGAGCTAATACACACAGTTAAACAGCAGCCCCAAGTCCGCCGGCCCTTAACAGGGCTAGGGCTCACGAACATCTCCGACAATACGTAGGGTCCAACAATCCACCGTTCGCAGTGGCACGCAATCCTCACCTTGACTGTCACAGACAAACCACGAACACCGGCTCCCAAACCAGCAGACGCCATCGAGCCTGCGTGCAACATGACACGGATTGCAACAAACAAGGCACCGTGGTTCGGTGTCAATCGATTTGCCAAAATCCCTTCAACAGTCCACTACTTATCCAAAACATAAATAAAATAGCATGAAATCTACACTAGCCCCTAGTAATGACCCCTGCGTTCATCTACTGCAAAAATATTTTGGATTTTTGAACCATCCGGAGGCTTTTTGGCGCTTTAACGCGTTTCACTATTGATATTCAAATGTTTCAATATTGATATTCAAATTTGAATATAGATATTGAAATTTTAATATTAATAGTGAAATTCGAAAACATGAAGTCAACACCATGTGTTGTAAGTACACAAGCACTCCACCCCATCAACCCATCCATCACACATTCACCCACTCAACCACCCACACACGAACGCACCCATACGTTCATCCACCCACGCACCCACCCAGCCATCTATTCACCAACCAATCCCTCCAGCAATCCAGTACTTTTCCAAAACATCAACAAAATAGCATGACACCTACACTAACCCCTAGTAATGACCCCTGTGTTCATCTACTGCATAAATATTTTGGATTTTTGGAACATCCGGAGGCTTCATAGCGCCCTGTTTGAACATCTATAGTGAAATTTGAACATCTATAGTGCAATTCGAAAACATGAAGTCAACACCATGTTTTGAAAGTACACACACATACCACCCCATCACCCCATCCATCACACATTCACCCACTCAACCACCCACACATCGACACACCCATACGCTCATCCACCCACGCACTAACCCACCCATCTAATCACCAACCAATCCCTCCAGCAATCCAGTACTTATCCAAAACATAAAGAAAATAGCGTGACACCTACACTAACCCCTAGTAATGACCCCTGCGTTCATCTACTGCATAAATATTTTGGACTTTTGGAACATTCGGAGGCTTTATAGCGCCCTGTTTGAACATCTATAGTGAAATTTGAATATCAATAGTGAAATTCGAAAACATGAAGTCAACACCATGTGTTGTAAGTACACAAGCACTCCACCCCATTAACCCATCCATCACACATTCACCCACTCAACCACCCACACACCCACGCACCCATACGCTCATCCACCCACGCACGCACCCAGCCATCTATTCACCAACCAATCCCTCCAGCAATCCAGTACTTATCCAAAACATAAAGAAAATAGCATGACACCTACACTCATCCCTAGTAATGACCCCTGTATTCATCTACCGCATAAATATTTTGGACTTTTGGACCATCCGGAGGCTTCATAGCGCCCTGTTTGAACATCTATAGTGAAATTTGAATATCTATAGTGCAATTCGAAAACATGAAGTCAACACCACGCGTTGAAAGTACACACACATACCACCCCATCAACCCATCCATCACACATTCACCCACTCACGTACTCACCCACCCATCCATGTATTCACCAACCAATCTCTCCAGCAATCCAGTACTTATCCAAAACATAAAGAAAATAGCGTGACACCTACACTAACCCCTGGTAATGACCCCTTTGTTCATCTAGTGCATAAATATTTTGGACTTTTGGAACATCCGGAGGCTTTATAGCGCCCTGTTTGAACATCTATAGTGAAATTTGAATATCGATAGTGAAATTCGAAAACATGAAGTCAACACCATGTGTTGAAAGTACACACACACTCCACCCCATCAACCCATCCATCACACATTCACCCACTCACCCATCTATTCCCTTTTCCGGATCAAGGGAATGAAGTGACCGGTCTCCAATTGATAATACACGTGAATTGTTGACTCATCGGGTTCATGGAAGGGGGGTAAGTAGTAAAATTTTCCATTGCCATGATCTCTAACGATGTGAACTTTGACACCAGTCATTTTCGCGTAAGCTTGGGCTATCAACTCGTCGCACCACGTACCGCACCACGTACGTTCTTTCTCCATCAATGCAAGGTATTCTTCTGCGCTTTCGGGTACGACAACCCCTTCTGCATCCTTCAATTTCAATGCGCTGCGGTCATCGCCACTGTCCCTGTCACGAAGTATTTCAGCGACGCGAACCTCGATGGTCTGCTCTACGGTCCAAAACTGTGTTAATTGGTGGAAGGGATTGTTTCTCATGAAAGCAAAAATTTGTTTTATCGTCTCAGAATGACAGTTTCCATCATTTGGGTGTGTTATATGACAAAGAGAGTGCATGATCTCCGTTACCTTGTGCTTCACCAATGCCCCACCTTATTCGCCACCCTCCCCTTTCCTCCCACTCGTATTTTTCTTGAGATTCTGCAGCTTCTGCTTCATCTGCTGCTTCTTCTGCTTCTGCATCTGCCGCTGGTTCTTCTGCTTCTGCCTTCCGTGCCGCTGGAGCTGTTGGCGGTACGTGGGTCGTAATCAATTTATTTCTCAGCAGGTACCGTTGACGAAAGTTCTCATGTTCTTGACGACGGAGATTTAACAGTGCGTTGCCAAGATTGATTTTTAGAACTTGATAATCTGCGTACGATACGTGCTTTCTCACACCGTCCTCAAAACCTCTCAGCGCTTTTTTCGCATTGTGCAAAGCAATCTCATCATCGGTCAGCGGTTCATCCAGGTACACCAAGCCCATGCTGTGCACGGGTGGAAGCGTGGAATCTATAGGCCACAGCCGGGTTCGAGACATCAGTCTCTTTGTAAGCGAGTCCATGTGATTCATCTGAACGTTTTCATATCCATAGAATGTTTTCCACAAAAACGCGTTATATGTGGTCCAAAATTTGCATCATGGTGTGTCAACACCATGTGTTGTAAACACCCGAACACTCCACCCCATCAACCCATCCACCAAACACACATCCACTCATCCACCCACCCGTCTATTCACCAACCTAAACCAACCAACCAACACCCACCGCCTCCAACGATGAATCGTGTCACGTGCAGACAGCTGGTGATACAGGTGGACGCCGATTCGTGGTGCAGCAATGGCGTCTCAGGGGTACATACTTTGGTGGTAATTTATTTTGTGGAACCAGTCAAGCGGTCGCGTACTGCTTGAAAAAAGCATAACTCAACCGAAGTTCGGTTTTAAATGTGGTTGTCGTTCGTACGAAATACAAGAGTTATTATGTTGCCGGCGTTTATACACGCCTCATGGCAAATGTCAACACCAAGACTGCCATTAAACGTCTCGGGGTCTCCAACGTTACCCTTAGATAATGGGACAAGCTCAAAGCGATCCCGACCATTAGAACCCCGGGTGGTCAAGGTCTCTTCGACATCGAAACCTTCCGAAAAACGCAAGCGCTCCGATCAGAGGAGGCAAGGCTTTGTGCAAGAAGAATGGCAATAGATAAAAGGAACGCGTCCCGCATCGACATCGGATACGCGAGAGTGTCGTCCGCAAAGCAGAAAAAGGATCTCGGGAGACAAGAACAATTCATCAGCGATTCGTGCCCGGGAATATCGATACTATCTGACATCGGATTCGGACTCACTTTAAAAGGAAAGGCTTCAAAAGGTTTCTACGATGTGTCATGCAGGGACAGATCGATCGCGTGTTGGTTGCCTACAAGGACCGACTGTGCAGATTTGCTTTCGAAATCATCAAGTTCGTCTGTGACGAAAAGAACACAGAACTCGTGGTTCTCAATCGAAACGAAAACGGTTCTGCAGAGACAGAACTCATGGAGGACCTCATGGCCGTCGTCCACGTTTTCACCACGAGACTCTATGGAAAAAGAAGCACCGGCAAAAGGAAACGCTATACAGAGGGGGGCGCTGAACACGGTAACACTTCGGTTAGCTCTGGTTCAGTTGAGGATTGCGAAGATAGATGTCGTCATGCTCGAGTCGCTCGACACAGCACCTTCGGGAGTTTCTGAGTCAAAGAATGAACCAGCTCATCCAAAGGATACAAGACAATTCGGAAAAAAGAACCCTGGAAAAGAAAACGCGGACGTCTGACTTTATCGAAAAGAAGGAGCACATCAAAAGCCTCTCCAAAACTGAAATGGACGAATTCGTTTTGATCCGACAAGCGATTCAAGACTTTGACAAACCCTCCGGTGCCAGTGAAGAACCAATTGACAAACTACTCAAATCACAAGACGCCCTCGTCGAGACCATCCGGGAGAAGCTATCGGACATCGAACCCTATTTACTCGAGCGAAGAAGGTCCGGATGTAACCTACGAGAAAGCAAAAAAAGATTATCACCAAGTACATGTCCGACGGCCGGAGAGTCTACAACGAGTGTGTTCGCAAGCTGATTGACGGTGTCTCGACATCGAAAATCAGGGACAAGGCGATAAGAGCACCGTGCATGGACAAGACAATGGAGAAAGCTCTAAGGACTCCGGAGCATGTGAGGCAGAAGTCAGCGGATCAATTTGTCGCAGCACAGAATGGCTTCGAAACACGTGAAACCGGTTCCCTCCACTTTCGGAGCAAGTTCAATCAGAAACAGAGCATCGGTCTTCAAAAAAAAGACTCTCGTATACACGGGTCTAGTGTACACCTACCCTTCAAGGAGTTCGACGAAAATATCCTGTTAGGAGAAGAGCTGGTAAGCGATGATGGCCTTCTGACGGAAATTGTGAGAGACCGAGGTGTCTACTACGCGACTGTGACGAAGACAACACCCGTCACTCCCAAGTCCGACGGACTCAGGGTTGTTTCTTTGGACATGGGGTCACGGAAGTTCGGATCGTTTTATTCTCCCGATGGTTCGATTGGTTTTATCGGTGAAGAAGCAGGAGCAAGCTTTCAAGGCTCATCAAGAAGAAAGAGTGTCTCAAGAAATTGAAGGAGTCAAAATCGAAATTGACCAAGGGGGGGCGTAAGGTATCCACAAGGATCGCCAACCTGTTCAATGAGATGCACAACAAGGTCGCCCTCTACTTGGTCCGTAACTACGATGTCATCATGGTCGGTAGACTTTCGAACGGTGTGATGAAGACAAAATCACACCGAAATCAGAAACTCCTGCATGCTAGTTTGAAACACTATCAGTTCAGGCAGAGATTGATCAACAAGGGGAATGACC